TGCCAGGCACAAGTGCCAAATAGTATTAAACATATAATTAATTAATAAATAAAAAATTTTTGTGCTCATGCTTATGCTCATGCCAAGTTTTTGTGCTTGTGCCTATGCCTATGCCAAATTTTTGTGCCTATGCCCATTCCTATGCCATATTTTTATATTAGCACTCATGCCCATGCCAAAGCTTTCATGTTTATGCCCATGCCTGAATTTTTGTTGGGCATAGGCATGAGTTCAGGTTGCAGACCCCTAGTTCCTAACTTATAATAAACTATTAGGTAATAAGAATTCTTATTAGTTTTACTATAAATACAGAGACAACAGTATAGGACAGCATAAGATATTCAGTTTTAATAGATTTTTTAAAAATATAATTTGACAAAAAAATTATTAAACAAAAAAAATCCTTTTGAAAATTGATAAAAATTTTAATTTTTAGATATCACCAATTAAAATTAATTATTATTTGATAATATAATCTTAGCCTATCAAAATCCTCTTGAAAATTGATAAAAATTTTAATTTCTAGATATCACTAATTAAAATTAATTATTATTTGATAATGTAATCTTAAACTATCAAAATTAATTTTGTGATCTTAAAATTTTGTTTAATAAATTTAACACTATTTTAATATTGTTTCACACTATATCTTAAAGATTCTTTAGCAACTCTGTAATTAAATTATATACTAGTTGACTGCATTGTAATAAGAGGAATAGCCAATATTTCCTTTGAAAGCTTTCTTGTTAAAAATTTTTCATAAAGAGATTAGATATAAACTAACATATAATCAAAATATAATTTAATTATTTACTGAAGCTTTCCTTTATCTAATTGATACTTTCTATCATCTAATTCATCTTTCTTTACTGGCTTAGCACCTTCTAAGAATAATGCTATGAATTCAAAGAGAGAATTGTCCTTTGTGATACAACAAACAGTGTAATCCAGCTTACATGATTCGTCTGATCCAATAAGTTGTGAAAGTGAATTTAAGGTGCTGAATATAAATTAATATTATGTATTATAAGGAAGATTTAAATTTAATACATAAGAAGTAGATTGAATACTTCTAAGAGATTAGTTGAGCCAAGTCTGCAACAGCAGCATCTATTTGAAGGTATAACATCTGCAACCAAGTTGCTTCATTGATTTCTTTTAGATTTTGTTTTTTGCATTTATTAATTAATTTAAATCTAAATAAAATTTGTTAGTACAAAAATTATATTAATAAATAAAAAATATAAATATATATATTCAACAGTTCTTCAAAACTATTTTTAAAAAAGTGTTCATCAGCTTTTCTTAAATCTGGTCATATTATTTCTTTAATTTCATTATACCAAATGTTGTCTATTCAACTTTCAACTCTATTAAAAGGGTCAAACTTAAAATTAAAATTAAAAAGCACATCAAAGTCTTCTTTAGCTCATAGATAAGTTTGTAGAGGAATTAGATATTTAATAATATGTCATGATTTAAGAGAGTGATTAGGAGGAAGGTCTACTAAATTCATTTCTAAAATAGCATCATGGCAGTTATTAATAATTTTTTGGTCTTGTAATTCAGTACTGTTGTTTATAGTAGTAATTTTGTAGAATTCATCATTTGACCTCAGTTTCTAAAAAGCATAAAGTTAGTTAAATAAAATTTTGTAACCTAAAGTTATGCAAGTTTTATCTTTTTTTTTTTGGTATTAAGGTGAGGCCTTGCTCATATCTTTATTAGTAGTTTTAAAGTTAGTAACTACATGGAGTT